CGCAACATCGAGGCAGTTCTAGTGCAAAATCAGCCTAAGTAATTAAAACTGAGCTGGAGCAGGATAAAAGGTAAAAGGTAAAAAAAAAATGAAACAAGCTGAGCTCTAGAAGCAGCTAGTTGATAGCCACCATCTTGGCAGAGGTTCCAAAGCCTTTTGCTGACAGATTCCTTTCCATTGACCTGAATGCTGAATTTAATAGCATTGTGGTCACTGTTCCCAACCGGTGCTACAACCTCTATGTCTCTCACCAGGTCTTTCAACCCTCTCAGAACCAAATCCAAGATCTCTGTGACCAATTATTCCAGTTCCATTTCTAGAGCATCACTCAAGCATATGTTTACCTAGTCAATCAATCAATCAATCAATCAATACTTTATTTACAATCCATGATCAGAATATACACCAGTAAGGAATTTTTTTTAATTACCATATAAAAATTAAGGTATGCAAATATAGAAGTGTATAAAAGTAAATTAAAACTAATACTAATAGAAATACAGTAGTTTCTAACATTAAAATTCTAATATAGAATACAATCAGCTACTATCTTCTTCTTTTTTAAGCCCCCCGAAGGGGATTTTTTTATTGTATTTTTTTTAAATCACTACAAACTACAACAGAAATAAGGTATGGGACTACATCTAGGGACAAAGTAAAGATACCCACTAGTAACTAAAAACCCAAGAGAGGAGATCTTCTAATCATTTTACACAAACATCAAGTCTTAATCCCGTTAATCCCATTACAAACTAAGTCAAAAGTAACATTAGCTTTTTCAATTCTTAAATTTAACTGCCATTAAGAAATACCCCAAAGCATCTCATTTCAAAGTTTTCCAAAGGCACAAATCAGAGTCCTTCAGCTTTCACTTCTCCTTGCCCCGTCTCTTCCGCAACTTATAAGGACTTTTGGGAGCTGCTGCCCTTTTCTTTGAAAGAGAGTGCCCTTTTCTTTGAAAGAGAGTCCCCTCCGGAAGAACCCGAGTCCACCTCGCCACTGGACTTACTGTCCTCCCCGTCTTTTTCTTCCTCCACTGGCCCTCCCAACTGGAGTCTTAAAATTCCCGAGCTTTCAGCACCGAGTCAATCTTTTCTTTTTTATCCTTGATTTTGAAGGTAACGCCTTCTGGAGTTAGCCATCTATATCGAATTTGTCTGAAGGAAAAGAACAAGATCTTTGTATTTCTTCCTCCTTTGTCTTATTTCAAATTGAATGTCTTTTAGAACTCTGATGACATTCTCCCCAACTTTCAGGGGTACTCCAGATACTGCTTTCAGGATTGCATCCCTCACATGCCTCTTTGAGAATCTTACGACAATTTCCCCAGGCAGATTATTTTTCTTTATATATCCTGAATATGACCTATAAGCCACATCCATATCGCTTAGCAACAGTTCTGCCTTCATCTCTGTCACTGGGGCCAGTATTTCACTCATCGTTTTCTTCAGATTCTCACCCTTAGTCTCTGGCATGCCCTGAAAGCGAATAATCATATTAGCCTTTTTCCATTTGTAATTGTAGCAGCTGATCTTCTGTGGAAACTTGCTTCCTTTCCGATTTTTGTACTTTCTTCTTCACCTTTTGGGCAGTGGCATCCACTTCTTTCACCTTCTCAGCTGTTTGATTCATCATTTTCAAAGTCTCGTTTATTTGAGTTTGCTGAGCGGTGGTGCACTGAGTCATTGTTGACATCTGGTCCTATTCAGCTGGTCCAGCAGGGGGTGCATGGATTCTGCCAAAGTCTTTTCCAGCTCGTTGGTTCCTTCCGGTTTTGGGCTCTCAGTTACTTTTGATTTCAACAGTTTCTCCTTTTCCGTCCTCTTCCCCGCCATCTTTCTCGATTTGTTTACTTTCGCAATTTTTTAAAAAGTCTCTGAATATGCGCTTAAACGTTCAAACTCGCCTTGGTAAGTACTTCTTAACAGTTTTAACTGTTTTTTCTTCAACTCCCCCCCTCGCTCGCTCAAAAGTTCATGCGCTTGGGAGGCGTCCCGCCCCTGCTCGCCTTAGTCTGTTTTGTAGGGTAGGGTGGGGAGCTTTCTTTTCTCTTTAATCAACGCTTAAATGACTCATGTTCATAATCGGTCCTCGGACCTCGTTTACATTCTCTTTCGGACGCTCGATCTCCTGCGCTTGCCCCGGTCAGCGTCGCTTGGGTCCATTCGGTCTCACAGCATGGAGAACCGTCGGAACGGAGAGGCACCTCAATTCTCCGGCATTACGCCGTCGAAGAGGCAATCTCTCAAAAGTTCCATGGCCAGGGTCCCTTCAACCGGGTCCCTGGGGGGGTGACAAACCTGCGCACCCCCTCCTTCGGCTGGAGCGCAGCTTCACCCCTGGGAGGTCCGGGAGGTGAGTCTGCTCTAGCGTGCCGCCATCACCGGAAGACCAATCAGCTACTATCTTCCACATTAAGTTGGGAAATATATAAGGAACGTAGTTTCATCACTTGGGAGCAGAATTTTACCTAGTCAATGTGAGGGCAGTAAGTCTCCCAGTATAATAACAGTAACTGGTTTAGTAATCTGCCTTATTTCCTTCTCCATCTCAAGATCAGCCTCAAGGATTTGACCTCCCATTGTTAAATAACCATTAGGGTCCAGTATTTCCACCTATATCTCTTTGATGTACAACACAAAACGTCCCCCAACCCATCCCTCCCTGCCCTGCCTATAGAGCTTATACCCAGGAATGACTGTATCCTGTAGATTTTCCCCATCCCACCATGTTTCTGAGATTCCTACTATATCCACATTTTCACTGAGCACCAAGCACTCCAGATCCCAATTTTTATTTCAGAAGGCCCTGTAAATTAAACCCCTGCCCTAGTTTATCTGTTTTTATTGTAAACTGCTTTCAATTTCTTGATCTTATTTTTTATCATGTTGTGCTGATTGTGAGCACGTCTTTTAATTTGAAAAGGTACATAACTAATCTAGATAAATAAAATAAACTTCTGATCATTCAGGAGATTGTCTTCTCTCTTGAACTTACCTCTTTCTCATGATGTACCCATCCAAATTCAAACTCAGTTATGGGTTATTACATCAGAATGAGAATACTAGCCATCTCACTTTTTTCTCATTCACAGATGGGTTATGTTTACTCTGGATTGTACTTCTAAAGCCACAACAGATTATCACAGATATCTGTCATTATAGTGTAATAAGTGATTTGTGCATCCAGCCATGACAGGGACTGTAGAGAAAGGAAGGAAAGAACTTAGCCAATTCCCCCTGCTTGGTTTAGCTGATTGAAATCAGGCTCCCCAAACTATTATTAGTGGTTTTAAAGGGGAAGCAGACATGCCCTTGTAAAACCTGTCTTCTCCCACACTAAAAGCCTAATAAAAGCCCATTTTCAATTAGAAAACTGAGCAGGTTTCGAAAGGTTGAATCCCTTCTTTTCCTGTGTGGACCCAATTCAAATCATGGCGGTGTCCACACAATTCACTTTTGACAAAGTAATGGAGCTCTGTGGTTTCTGCAATGTCTAGGTTGGCACTTAGAAAAACACTTAGAAAGAATAGCACCAGATTTGGGCTGTTGTCTTGTTTTTATAAACCATTCTGTATAGCTAAAAATAAAGGGGCAATATGTCCAGTGAAATGAAACAGAACTGAAACAAAGACAAAGCAAATAATTGACCACACAGTGAACTCTTCAGTGAATCTTACATCTATTTCTAAATACATCCATTTTCCTAAGCAAGGTGAAATTATTCCTTGAAAAAAGCCCCACGTTAATTGATTTTGGAAGGCCAAATATTGCATCTGCAAAATTAATCAGCACTGTTTTGAATAAGCCAAGCCACCCACTTCTCTTTCTGTTCCTTTCCAAGTAATATGCACTGAAGCGGCTCAGTTTATCCTCATTAATCTAAGCAAACATAGGTGAGTCAATTTGCTGGAACAAAATGAGTTCATGGCAGAAGGTGGCCTCAGAGCACAAGCTGGGGGAATATTGTAACCAGGTTGTTGCACCTGTGAACAATAACTAAGGAAACAGGTAGCCAGAGTGACAAATATGGATAAACAGTCCCATCTTGATACAGAGCAGCATACATAGGGCAGCTGGGGCTGTACCCAAGGAGCACTTTTCAGGAAGGTTGCCGTCTTTCTGATAAGCTTTTTATTTTTAAATCAGGGGAATGGGAAGATGAACTCCAGCCCTTCCCACTACTACTCAGAAACAGCTGAGCATCAGAATTTATTTCAGATTTCAATCTTTCAGAAATGGCTTTGCAGCAACGGCCTTAGACTTTGTGTTGGTGAGGGATCCCAGCATGCAGGCAAGGAAGGCTTAAGTGTGCATCTGTAAGGACCCTATGCATGGTGGAGGACCTTCAGTCACGCTTGTCATCATAAGGCAATAGATTCAGGTGGGTAGCCACAGGAGGTGGTGGCGGCTACAAGCATGGACAGCTTCAAGAGGGAATTAGATAAGCATATGGAGCAGAAGTCCATCAGTGGCTATTATTCACAAGGTATAGATAGGAACTCTCAGGCTGGGGCAAGTGATGCTCTGTATTCTTGGTGCTTGGGGGGGGACGACAACAGTGGGAGGGCTTCTAGTGTCCTGGCCCCATTGCTGGACCTCCTGATGGCACCTGGTATTTTTGGTCACTGTGTGACAGAGTGTTGGACTAGATGGGCCATTGGCCTGATCCAACATTGGTTTCTCTTATGTTCTTATCAATGCTCCCTGTAAGCTGTGGAGTCTTGTGAGCAAAAATTCTACTTTGTGAGCTACTGGCATTAAAGTTGTGAGTGAGCAATTTGGCAGCTGCATAAATTAGTTTGCTCTGGAGCCATCCTTCCTGAGCTAAGACAAAATTGTATGAGCCAGAGGCTAAAAAACTGTGAGCTAGCTCACACTAACTCAGCTTAGAGGGAACACTGGTAGCCATGTTGTTCTGAAAGAAAAGAACAAAGTTTGAATATAAAGTTGGTCTTAAAGGTGTCTCTGGCCTCAAACGTTTCATAATCCAATACTTACTCCACGGTCCATAGCCTGTAGCAGATGATGGAAAAAATTATCAAGCTCTTTCCCCTCTATGTAACCATTGCCTAAAATAAAGGAATATATTTATATATATTACATTTACTTGAAATAACTGCCTCTATGTGAATAAATAGACTCTAAATGCAAATAACATATAGCATGGACATTTTATAAATCTATAACCAAATCTATTTATAACCAAATAAGTAAATGTAAGCAATCCTTGCTTTTTTTTTGGCTTTTTTGATTTTAAAAGATAGAATTATTTAATTGCCTTCAAAATAATGAGTAGATGAGACAAACTGTGGACATTTTCCACCTCAAGCTTCTTTTGTAGAAGCCTGTATTTCAACTGGATGTTTGTCTATGGAGATATCCAGGTCAACATGTTCATTGACGCAAAAATCAGTAAACAAGGGTAAAAGCTGCCAGCTGTCTAATCCACAGCAGGCCCAGAAAGTTCATAGGGGCTTCAGGGATATAATACTAATGTCAGTGAAGAGAACTGAAAGCCTCAGTTTAATTCAGCCTCAGTTAATCAGGTCATTAAAATGTAGATTTAAAATTAGAATAAAGAGCTCTGATTAAAATCTAGGAGCAGGCTCCCTGTTGATGCTGTAAACACTCTGTGATTGGACACAATATATTAAGATGTTTTAAAACTGAGAGTGACAGTCAACACAGAGATTTATTGTGTAATCTTGAATAGACTTAGGCCCTTCCGTTGACAGTGATGGCTGAAAAGGGTGTAACTTTGTTTAAGATTGCACTGTCACACTATAAATTGCTTGTGGCGGGACATGTCATTTATGTTCATTGGAGAGCAATCCTAAACAGGTCTACTCAAGTTATTTAATCAGGCTTGCTCCCAGGAAAGTGTTTTTAGGATTGCACTACCAGTCTATAAAGCACCACACAAGTTGATGGTGTTACTATTAACACCATCAGTACAACACCAATAATTAATATTTGAAAATATCCAGTAGTGTGATACTAATATTCTCTCTCTTGATTGATAGATAGATAGATAGATAGATATATAGATATATCATAAATTAATAGGTAATAGAAGGTAGTAAAATCAGTTTTCAACCAACTTGCAGTGTTGTTTTAAGCAGAATTACACTCTTCCAAGCCCAATGTCTACAGTAGATTTAAAAGGGTATGACTCCACTTAGGCAGGCATTGCAAATATCTCCAAGCAGCCGAGGGTACCTAGTTTTATCACACCCAGTCTAGTGCTACACACATCCACACAGAAAATACCCTCTGAGAGCACAGAAATACAGTGTGTAAGTGGGAGTTGAGATGCTGCTCATGCTATGCACTGTCCAGGTGGGGGGAAAGCACTTTTTGAATCTTTTGACTCCATAAGGCTTCTGGGACATAAGTTTCTGTGCATGTTCTGGAGCTCACTTTTTCAGATGCCTGAAGTGAATTCTCAGTCAGCACACAGACAGACAAAGATGAACACGTTATGAGTAACCACAGGTAAAATGGCCACAAAATGCAGGACTTAGAGCGTGTGACATTTCCAGACAAGACTCAAAAATAGGCAAGGCGCCAGCCACAAATGATGATACTGGCAGAAGAGGATCAGATAGAATTATACAGAAGCACAGAACTTCCTTATGAACTAGAACTGCGAAAACAATCTTTGAATAGACATGAACTTCTCCGTTTCTCACATATGCATTGAACACGAAACACTTTCGAATCGCGGGGGAGGGGGGGAGCTCACCGTCGGCATCGAAGTGCTGCCAGATGCTCAGGAAATCCGCGGCGTCGAGGCGCTCCAGAGGGTTGCTGTCCATGGTGCTGCAGAGCAAGCGGCCACGGCGGGCAAAGTTCAGAGACCGACCGTTCTGTTGGCAGCTGGGCAGAAAGACTGTCAATGGCTGCTAACCCCGGAGTGAGAGAGAGACGGACGGGTTTTCAGGAGGCCGCCAAGCCAGAGACACGCCCAGGGCTCCTCGGCTTCCAGCTGCTGCTGCCGGGACAGAGCGTGCCCGCAGACCGAGACCACTGCTGCCGCTAACCCCACCCTGTTGCAATCTCACCCCGCCCTGGCAGTGGGAAAACCTTGCTTTCTCTTTTCTCAACGGAGATTTCTGGAATATATCAATATAAAAGGAGAACTCCGTGTATTCAGGGGAGCGTTAGCTACAGCATGCTAGATGAATGAAAACCGAGGGTCGAGTTGAAAGTCCTAAGCTAGTCTCCCTCTCCCCACTAACTTAAAAGAGAATTTAGGGAAATTACTCTAGTGAAAGTGAAATGCTGCAGCTGTTAAAGGGATTTCGTTGGTGGGACTGATGGATAAATTTGACTTAACACCAGAATGAAATGTAGATCTGATATTTAAACAACTTTTTGATTCCTGACAGGGTTTCAGGGTTGTCTATGTTTTTAGGAAGTGGGAACTTTGGTGATTAGTTCTGCCAATGCCAAGAAGTATATTGTTAATTTAAAGTGGGCAGTTTTTAAAAATCCTGGAATTAGAGGTAAATGTTATAAACTCATAACGTTACTTACAGTAATGTTCATTTTGCACGAGATATAATGCCTTTTCCAGAGGGATGGTATCCCTCTTTATGGGCATTAACATCATGGCTTAATATTGCCACCCCACCCTGCTTACAAACCTCCCTGAAGCACTGGAGACACATGTGAACATTTTTTAGCCTCTGTTGGTAAACAGAATGGTAGAGTTCAGAAGGGGCATTGGACATTTCTATATTCCTATCATTTGATATGCAGTGACCTGTGAACATGCTAGTTTTTCTGCAACAGCATGCTGGTATTCATCATTTCATTTGCAAGGCAATAGAGGAAACTGCTAATTCACCACCACTACTGACTTGTTCAATATATAAATGTTGCTATACTTGGAGAGCAATCCTGAACAGGTCTACTCATAATTCTTCTCAAGTCTGTTCAGTCGACTTTCTCCCAGAAAAAAGTATTCTTAGGATTTTACTGTTAGCAGTAATGGGGTATATAGTAACAATGTCATATAGAAGAGATCACAAAGTATACATCAGAACTGTACCTTATGCAACACATTTTTGTCCCACTCTTCTAAAGGGTTCAGTGGGTACATGGTTCTCCTCTCTTCCCTGTGATGTTGGCTCAGCTGAGAGAAACTGATTGACTGACTAATGGGGATTTGAATTCAGAATCCCATAATCAAAACCCAGTACTGTAACTTCTACACCATACTGGAAATAACAATTTGTGTGGCATAGCAGTTTTTAAAATTAGACCAAAAACCTGGGCCATGCATGGGTCATGGTTCAATGGCACCGCATTATGCTTTGCATGCAGATAGGCCACAGGTTCAATCCTTAACTGGCTATTCCAGTTAAAATATCTCAAGAAGCAAATACCTATAGTAGCCATAACAAAATTGATTAAAACAAATAAAATGGGCAGGAGGTACTTTCTCAACCCAAAATTCCATTGTCTCAAAATTAGAGACAGATGAACCCTATCAATTTCAATTTGGACTAATGCTTGAACATTTTTAGTATATAAGTTGTAAAAAGGTTACCCACAAATTCCCTGAAACTTGGAAAAACCACAGTCCTTAAGAATCAAATAAGTAAATTCCTCCCCTTTCTCGGAGGGCTCCCCTTCAGTACTTCCTTACAAGCCACACTCCTGAAATTAACTTCCTGCAGCTGTGATAGTGGGCAAAGGGGGCTGTTTCTTTGCCTTACAGTGCAAAGGCCCCCCAGGAATGTGGTTTAATATATATATAAAGGTAAAGGTTCCCTTGCTCGAAAGCCAGTCGAGTCTGACTCTAGGGTTGCGGTGCTCATCTCCGTTTCAAAGCCGAAGAGCCAGCGCTGTCCGAAGACATTTCCGTGGTCATGTGGCCGGCATGACTAAACACCAAGGCGCACGGAACGCTGTTACCTTCCCACCAAAGTGGTACCTATTCATCTACTTGCAATTTATTCCTTTCGAACTGCTAGGTTGGCAGGAGCTGGAAGTAGAGACGGGAGCTCACTCCATCATGCGGCAACTCGGATCTTGAGCTGCTGAACTACTGACCTTCCACAGCCTGCAGTTCAACGTCTTAACCACTTGAGCCATCGCAGCTCCATATATATATATCAGCTTTTTAACTGTCTGTGCCAAAATCTCCTTGTACAGTGATTTATCCCATTCTGATCTGTCCATGAGCTCCTCCCTTTCCCCTAAATTTTATCTATCACCAGAACAAAATATAGGGCTATGGGCATTAATAAAGTAATTTTCCTTTGACCAAGGTTAATACAAAGGAGTGGCCTCTTTTTGGACCCGCGATACTCGCGGGGGGGGGGCAGAGGAGGAAGCAGGAGGAGGAGGAGGTAAGTACCCTCCCATCCTGCCGGTTCCCCCCTGTCCTCCACCCCCCTCCATCTCCCCCCATTGCCTCTCCCTTCCAGCTCCTCGCTGCTCTTCCCCCCCCAACCCGGCACTGAAGCGAGGGGCGAGCGGGAAGCCGCTCGCCCCTCGCTATTTCCCCCTCCCTCAACCTGGAGTGTGCAGAGCGTTCCCTGCGCATGCGCAGGGGACGCTCTGCCAGTTTCGGGGGGACACATCCCCCCCTACACCCAGCCTCAGCAGACAAGCATGGCTACAGTCCCTCTCTTGGTCTTTGTTTTCTCTTCCCCCCCCCCCCCCCCCCCCTCCGGCTCCGAACCGAGGGCCGATCGGCGAGCCAATTGGCCCTCGCCGCTCTGGCCCCCCTCCCTGCTCGCTGCTCACCGCTTCCCTCCCAAGCGGCGGCGGCAGTTACAGAGCGCATGCGCAGGGGACGCTTTGTGACTTTCGAGGGGATTTAAACATCCCCCCGAAATTTTTAAAAAGATTTAGCATTTTTGTGCACACGTGGGGACTGGCCCACGTGTGCACAAACCTCCCCCGGCCCCCCAGCTGCCCCCGGAGAGCTGATTTAGCGATCCGCACTCCGGGGGCAACTTCGCTATTAGATATATAGATGGTAAGAAATTATTCCTCTAAAAACAGAAGATGGCATTAATAGAAATATCAAGGAAGTATTCGTTTTTCTTAAAGGGAACTTGCTTAAATTGATTGAATAGAGTTCCAGACCATGTTGATAATTATGTTGCATCATGGAGCAATCATAGCCAATTAATTGCTCACAGTGGGAATGGTGCGCTTCAGGAAGGACTTCAGATAGTTCTCATTCTGTTCCCCCCTCTTTGCCCAAACAGCAGATCAGGGTAATTTCTATTTTATAGCCAGCTTTCCAACTTTGGTGGCATGCCACCATAGAGGACAGGGATGAGGAATGCTTATCTTCAAGTCCCAAAATCACTTACGTGTGCTGGAGAATAAAAAGTCTGGGCATACAAATGTTCAATTATTTTTTGCATCTGATGACATAGGACATCATCCATGAATGTCCATGCAACAATGACTTTGTTAGCCTTTTTGGTTCAACAGGACTCTGATTTCTGAAAATTCAGGAATGTAACACCCCGCATTTCAAAAATGTATCTCTCAGCTGTGAGGCACCCCTTGCAGTGATTGGAGGCAAAATTGTTTTCTCCTGCTGGTTCCTTCTCTCCTTCTCTTGCAGTTGCTGCATGCCACTTTCCACCTTGCCCTTCACCATAAATGTAGCATATAAATGGCTGAAAAGATAATTTCATTTAATTTGGCAAAACCAACCTTGTCTCTGAGGCATTCTTTGGTGGCCACTGATCATTTTCAATGTCTCTTCCACTGGTTTTCCCCCCAGTTAGGAAGATTAATCTTCAAAACAAGAGGCTCATGTTTTCATGTCTTACATTATCTGGGCTCAAAGCTCAAATAAAATGTAGGCTAGAGGTATTATTTTTAAATGCAAAGTTCAATCTATTTCTTGATAAAACAAAATACTTTGGATATAAAACTGGATAGAAATTGCAGTAGATACCAAGGGATTATGAAAGAACATCAAATTGTCTATTGTTCCCAGTTATTTTTTTCCACTTCATTTTTTTAAAAACCCAAAATCTACAATTCTCACGGAAAACTTATCAAGAGTATTGATACATTTCTACAGCTATGCCTCTATGTGTTTGCTATTTGCACAAAGTTTGGTTTGAAAAATAAAACATCTGTTTTTACTAGTAGGGAGTAGGAGTTTTTATATCCTGCTCTTCACTATCAAAAGGAGTCTCTTACAATCGCCTTCCCTTCCTCTCTCCACAACAGACATCCTGTGAGGCAGGTGGGGCTGAGAGAACTCTGAGAGAACTGTGACCCTGGCTTCATGTCGATGTGTGGGGGAATCAAACCTGGTTCTCCAGATTAGAGTCCACCACTCTTAACCACTACACCAAACTGGCTCAGTTTGGTGTAGTGGTTAAGTGCAGTGGACTCCAATGTGGGAGAACCGGGTTTGATTCCCCACTCCTCCACTTGCACCTGCAGGATGACCTCGGGCAAGCCATAGTTCTGGCACAACTGTTCTTGAAAAAGAGCCGCTTCTGTCAGAGCTCTCTCAGCCTCACCTACCTCACAGGGTGTCTGTTGTGGGGAGGGGAGGGGAAGGGAAAAGAGCTTGTAAGCCACTCTGAGACACTTTTGGGTAGTGAAGAGTGGGGTATAAATCCAATCTCTTCTTCTTCTCTTCAGTCTGAAATTGTCAAAACTGGCTGGGTTGACAGAGGTATTGACAGTACAATCCGAAGATATTGTCCCATTTAAGTCAAAGAGGGTAGGTAGAGGAATGAGCTATAGTAAGTCAAGAGATGGGGTGGATTTGCCATGGGTACAACTGGTATTGGGGGGAACCCAGTACTTCTCAGGC